TTTGTCTTTTATGTATTGCCAAAAAATATTTGACGTTACGCGATATTCCATTCTCAATATTTGTCTTATAGTCACTATAGCACTTGTCAATAAGCTTGTGACTGCGGCTCCGTAAGAGGTCATGTTCAAAGGGGGATGCCCACTGTTCATAGACACTTCGGCCATTGGTGCCCACATATAAAAGCATATGAAAACGATAATATGCAATTAAAATAATGAAATGGCTAAGGAATTGGTTTAAAAAAAGTCGGGATTTTTATGATATAAAAGTTTTTATTTTCACAAATACAGTTTTTTAACGACTACTTTTACCAATTTTATCGCTTTTAACTTCTTTAACTTTTGTTTCCCGACATTTCAGGTGCTTTATAGCACCCATAGTCACGGGGGACTGAGGTGACTGCCATTCCAATGTCAGTATTGGGACACCTACCTTCCACGATACCATGATACTTTCAGCTTTTTATTATTATTTTAATAGTCCAATCTATGCAGATTGAACTTACTCTCTCTTTAAGTCTTGCAGTGGTATGCCTGGGTTTGGTTTTAATTTTATTAATTATAGTGTCCCAAGTAGGTGGTAGTACCCAACCGCCTTCTCTATTGAAATTAGGATGTTTTTAATTTCAATAGCCTCACATATCATCCTTGGTAGGAATTAAGGCTCTTTCGCGAGGATTTGTGATCTATCAAATCTGATGTATGTCTATCTGGTTGGGGTGACAACCTCGACACACGCTCAACTGCGGTCGGCTTCACTCAGTCACTGTGACGTAGATGTGGGACCCGAAGCTTGATTTTGTGCAGAACCTGCTTGATGTGCTGAAGCTCCGCGGCCAGGTGCTTGCTCTTATAGATCCCATATGCTCTCTGTAACAAATATTTGCTCACGGTAACTAACTGTGAAGGATGATGGTGAGATTCACCGCTTAAATATAAGTTTGTATGGGTCTTTTTTCTATACACAGTGTGACATATGATGTTGTTAGGATTTTGGAGAACAAAAACATTACAACAACAACAACAAACAAACGTAATTACTGAATGGAATTTGGCACAGAGAGTGTTAACGATGGATAAAATTCATAGTAACAACATCCTGATTTAATATTTCACGGGCCATATTCATGAGCCACTCTTATTTGTTTCTTGGCACTTGCAATAATGCCGATGTGCATTCATCACTATCTCATGTTCCTATTTTCATCAAATATACAGCAAGTGCAAAACATCCACTATGTTTACTTGACATTTTGGGAACTTTAGACAGAATTTATTGTTATTGTGCTTTTGATAAGCCTAGATAATAATGTACACTATATTCAGGCATACTGTGAATACTTTCAAAGTCTATAATATGATGGTAAATATTATCTTACAATAATGTAGATAAATCTATAATTTGTGCTACACTAAATGTTTTAATATGATTATATATTGATTCTAAAAGTAAATACCAAGAGTTACTATTTAAATGGTAGTTACTGATTCTACATTCTGGAGGTACATAGTAATTGTATTCAAAAAAGACATACCCGCAATGTTGATGAAACTGTGAGTTGATTGGAATAGTTACAACCAGGAAAAAACATTGATTTTGTGTGAGTGGTGGTCTTACAAAATTAGGCAGCAGTATATTGTACGATGTATGATCTAAGCTTTGTTGTTCTAGGTTCAATATATTACTCACTTTAGATTGCAACGAGGACGGACTAGATGATTCAGATGGTTCCCGTTCTAAAGTTTAACGTGATGCTGCTTTATCAGTCCTTTGCCAGCAATCATGACACGCGATGACGATGGCAACTGAAATAATATTAAATAAAAAAAATAAGACAAAGTGAACAAAATAAAATAGATTTGTTTACTTTAAACTCAAATATAGGTAAATGTTACTTAAAACTTAATGCCCTATATTTTTAATAATTAAGGACTGACTGCCTACCAGTAGTCCAAAAACAATTAAAAATCGACTTTCTCATTTCTTGGTATTTATTCTTGGTATATATATTATCTGGTGTTAGCTAGCTAATCTTATGGCCATGTTATAAATAAGCTATTATGTTTGTCAGATATAGCTTGTGCATATGTTAAAAAATAAAACAACTTCATCATTTCATTCATTGATCACTATCAAATATCAGCACTAGAATTATTAAATTAAAACTGTTAAACACTTACTTTTAACTGTTGTCACACTATAATGTGATCGACAATCTCACTTCATATGAGTTCTTGAGAATTTATTTGAAAAATAACAAACAAAATAACACAATTGCGACTATTTAGTTGTGAATTCTCTAGTATCTTTTTTATTTGTTGAATTGTGATTTCATTTTCATTCCCAATTCGCATGACATATTTCCTAGCTGTCATATAACTAACATAAATACACAGATTAATCTGTGCATAAATACAATGAAACGATATCGATTTTTATTTGATTAGTAATTTAATAAAAAAAGTAATATATGAGGCGCTTTAAGTTCTACACGCTTTTTAAAATATATTTTCTTTTATTTATTTAAATTCTTTTTTCAATGTATTTTTAAGAACAGTTAAAATGTGGAGTAGCGTATTATCATGCTCTAAACAGTTCATGGTGAATCAGCTAAAAATTCACTTGTTTAATTATCATAACATGATTCCATTTTAAATGTATTGTTAAAACAGATAACAATTACTGTTAAATTGTGCAGCAGCATTTTGTTATACTCTAAAGAATTCATAGTAAATCAGCTAGTAATTCGCTTTTTTAATTATCATAACATCATAATATCGATTCGATTATTATTCGATTAATAATTCCATAAAAAGAGAATAATCTTGGAGGTGCTTCTGCTCGCTTTTTAAAATGTATTTTCCTTTATTTATTTAAATTCTATTTTAAGTGTATTTTTAAACAATAACAATAAAATAGTAGTAAACCACAGCACTACTCTCCATCCTAATGACGACACTGTCGCGACTGGACGACAACGGCGTAGCTGACCTTCCTTTTTGAAACATTCTTAGAATGTTGTGTATCGATTTCAAAATCGATCTAACCGAAATATACAGACATCGATTCATAATATTTTATGTGTCGGGGAAGGCGTAGGCCAAGTGACGCACAGAAGAAAAGTCTTACACTCTTATGACAATGGGGATTTGATATGATGCTGACGCTGCTAGATGATTTTGAGACTGAGAAAGAAAACGGCACAACACAAAATGAAAAATTGCTCTGCACACCCTAAGTAAAAAAAACATTAATTGTAATTTTGTATTATTATTAAAAAAAGGTACATAATTATTCATTAATCAACAATTGTATATAATTATTCGCACTAGGTAAATCAGCCTTATAATACTAAAATCTTGGTCATGGAATAAATAAACATATTTGTTCACCAATCAATCAAAAATTCAATTCATCAATCAAAAATCAAAATTCATCATCATCGACGCTTTCCAAAATCCGAATGAGTTCTGAGGAATCGTTCACGTTGCATTGCTCTACTTTTCTCGGTAATCACTTATGACGTCATCAGGGTGTCGTCTATCCTTGATCACGGTGCCCAGTGAACTGATTTTCGATGACGCGCTAAAGATGCGCTAGAGTTGAGACATTAGATTTATTATGCGAAGATAATCTGATAACATTTTTTTATTCATGTAGCTAATTATAGTTGTATGTTTCTAACCTTTAATTTTATTCAAATATCAATAATAATAGAAAAAAAAACACCATTGAGCTGAATTTTGGATAGTTTTCAAGAAATCTATGCCTCCCGCGTTTGACACTAGCGGTCAGCCACAGACGACTTTGGCGTGATGGACATAGTATTTGCTTAGATAAAAATCCATTTTTATTAGTTCAATGTTTCTTAGTACTTGTGGCTCTAGAAGACTTGTTTTTTATACTCACATGTTGCTGGATTATTCCTATTTTGAGGAGTGTAGAATTAAAATACCTGTAATAATTTTCCAATATCTATATTTCATATTTTTCGGAGCCGGGTTTTTTTTCAACTATAGACGTCGTTGGCGCTCAGGGCCCGCAGGTGTTGGTCAAGTATAGGCGACTTTGGCGCTCAAAAGGTTAAAGGATTCATGGTAAATCACCTGGAAACTAACTTGTTTCGTTATCATAACATGATTCTATTTTAAATGTATTGTTATAAACAGATAAGAATAACTTAACCGATCTTCTTTAAAAACAGATAAGAATAACAGTTCTTATCTGTTTTCAAAGAAGATCGGTTAAGATTAACAGTTAAATTGTGCCGTAGCATTTGTTACTCTCTAAAGAATTCATTGGAAATAAGCTAGTAATTCGCTTGTTTAATTATCGTAACATCATAATTATTTAAAAATTATATTAGCACTGTAATGATGACACCGTAAATAATCGATCGAAAAAGAGAATCGATTTTTTAAATGTGTTTTGTGATTGGCAACACTTTTTTTTATTCACGAACTAATGACATAAAGATTTACCTAATTTTTATTATTATGTTTCCGGTACTTTTAATTTGTGCAAAAATATTCCCATTGTTTGAGGATAAATGAATACCGCGATTAATAACCATAAATAAAGATATAATTTTTTAACAAATTCACATTGTTGGGCGTTCCATGGCCGAAAATGGGCGTCCCCCTTTGTCACGTGGATTACCATATTTCCGATATCTTTTGCGTAGCTTATTTTTCTCAGATAGAAGTTTAATTAGGGTGCGGCTAAACCATTTGGAGTACTTACTCTTGGAAGGACGGCGCTTGGGGACAGATCTATCAATAATTAATCTTAGTTCATCATAGAATTTTGAAACCATTTCATTGACGTTGCTACAGCTCGAAAACCTCTCCACCCAATCTATACACTCCAGGTCCGAGGCAATTTCCTCGTAATTTTCCTTATAGAAATTGTGGTCAGTTCGTTTCTTAGGCTGGAGATAAACACAATTAGTTTTTTGCAACGTTACTAAAAGATTAGGATGTTTATAGTCCAGCCTACTCTAGAGTTCTAGAGGCTCCGAGACATCAACACCGGGAAAGTTGCTCATAATGAGATCTAAGTATCTTGCGTCACTGTTTGGTATGTTGTTAAATTGACTAAAGTTGTTAAGATACATGAAATCAACAAGACCGCATCCGAGAGTACTATTATAATTAGATGGAACCATTTGAGCAATATGATCTCTACTCCAGTTAATGAATCCTAGATTAAAATTGCCCATAATTAGAACGTTATTGGGTTGGTTCGTAATGTTATCAACTTTGTCAAGGAAATATGTCAAAGTATCTGATTTAACTGGTGAAGGTAAATATACCGCGCAAATGGCAATTTTTGTTTGTACCGATACCCATAAATCTTCACAGTTACTTTCCCATCGCTCAACACGAGCGGATGGAATGTTTCGCAATACAGCTATTAATACTCCTCCGCCGTCCATTTTAGTGGATTTGGAACATACACGGTCCCTACGATAAACCTTATATCTAGAATCGAAAATTTCACTGCTAGCAACATCCAGATTTAACCAAGTCTCCGTAAACACTATAACGTATAATATGCTTGTAATCGGAGCGTGCACCGTCTACAAAGACCTTGATGCTCCGATCTGCAAGAAAGCTGGTGATCCAATTGCACAATTTCTCGGGGAGCCCATAGGAAGGGAGCTTCGAAAGAAGCGCTTTGTGCCAAACCTGATCGAAGGCCTTCGCAATGTCCAAACGAAGGGCCAATGTCTACCCCTTGGACTCTACTGCCTCCGCCCATCTATGATTTAGGTAGACCAAAAGATCACCAGCTGAGAACGCGAAAACGGAATCAGCTGGTGATCCTCAAGGTATCTCATGAGTTGGCAGTTTACAATCGATTCCATTGTTTTGGAGAACAAGGAGGTGATGGCGATAGGCCGGTGGTAGGACGGGTCTGAGCGGTCGCCTTTTTTAGGGATCGGGTGGACGAAAGCCGTCTTCCATGATTTTGGGACTACGCATAGGGAGTGCTAACTCTGGAGCACACGTCCTCAGCACAATTGGGGGGATTCCGTCAGGCCCACTCGACTTGTAGATGTCCAGGGAGAGGAGTGCTTTGCGAACCGAGCACTGTGCGAACTGCACTTCCGGCATGGAGCACTCACACCAAGGGATGGTCGGCGGCGTACTCCCCCCGTCATCGAGAGTAGAGTTGGACGCAAAGAAAGAGCCTAGCAGATCGGCTTTCTCCTTTGCGGTATGGGCCAGTGAGTCCTCCTCCCTGTGCAGAGATGGAAGAGATGGCTGACAGAAATTCCCCTAGACCGTCTTTTACAAGAGACCAGAATGCACGGGTTCTAGAAGGAAGGCGAACTAGTTTCTCGACAATTCTGCCTATGTGCTCTAACATTGCCTTGGCAATGACTCTTTTGAAGGACCTGAAGGCGAATTTATACTTCTTTTTTAGAGTGCTGGTATTGACATCCCGTCGGGATCGTCCGGCGAGAAGCAAACCCGCCCCCAAGGGTAGGATGCAAAGAAAGACCACATCCTATCCCTATCGGCTGACCTATAGTGCCAAACACGACGGCAGCCCTCATAATGCAACTGCGATTTCAGCGTGAGTGGCACCACACTCCGGACAAGACAATGGTCCGAGGAGCCTAAAGGGGCGTCGACGTAAATCTGATATCCGTCTGGGTGAGAGGTCAACAGAAGGTCTAACAGGGAAGGTGCATGATCATCCACATCTGGAATCCGCGTAGGCGAAGTAACCAGTTGTGTCAGACCATATGCAAAATCATGAACAGATCTCCCCGCATGATTGGTTAATCGTGAACCAAGCCATTCGGTGTAATGGGCGTTAAAGTCGCCGAGGATCACGATCACTGCGGAGGGGATCTGCTGTAGCAACGAATCTGTAGCCATTTGGACGTGGTCGAAGAGTCGGTCTGTTTCGGCATTACCGCTATGGGACCTATAGAGGCACCCGTAGACGCACGGATGGTCGTCGCTGTCTACACATAGCCAACGGATGGACAGGTCCGAACCTTCAAGACTGCCAAGGAGTCGAGAACAGATGTTCTCTCTGACGTAAACGCAAACTCCAGCCCGAGGCACAAAGGAGTGTTTCAGTTTGTACCCCGGGTAGGAGAGATACGAGACATCAGCCGGAGAGGACACCTGCGTTTCGGTCAGAAAGAGCAGAGCCGGCCTCGCCGTCTCGAGATGGTAGTGGACGGCGTTTAGGTTAGAATGAAGTCCCCTGATATTGCAGAAATTCACGGACAACGTGGCAGGGGTCGCCTTGTTCTTGTTGCTCCGTTTGTCCCGAGTCCCAGTAGTCCTGAGCGGAATTTTGCCCCCCCCCCACCCAGAATACGCGGGGCAGCCTGAGTACCCACGCTCAGAAGTGGAAAAACATGGTCGTGGATGCTCAGTGAGGGATTATCCAGAGGTGCTGGTACCCTCCTGGGATACTTTGACATTTAATTCCGCTACTATATTGACGGGGGGGAGTTGGGCCTCCGGCCACCGGCACTCACCAGACGAAACGCGGAAGCAGAGCTTCCACTTCACGCTGGTATTCTGTAAGGTCGTGGTACCACCCCGGTTTGAGCCGGCCCATACATGCAACAGCAAAGCTGCCGCGTGGCTTTACATTTGTTGAAGTATTAGGTATTGAGTAAGTATGAAGTATTGGGAAACCTCCAGATCTTCAAAAACTGCTCGTCATCAGGGAGTCACCCTACTGCCTGTCGAAACTATAGCACTTTGACGAAAAAAATTCACGGATAGCGTGGCAGGGGTCGCCTTGTTCTTGTTGCTCCGTTTGTCCCGAGCAGTTGTAGTCCTGAGCAGAATTTTGCCCCCCTACCCAGAATACGCGGGGCAGCCTGAGCACCCACGCTCAGAAGTGGAGAAACATGGTCGTGGATGCTTAGCGAGGGATTTAGGGTCCAGGATTAGGAATCCCTTCCATTAAAATCTGAGCAATTAACGGATTGAGTAAAAAGGAGATTGACGATTCCGTGGCGCAGTGACTCAGATAGGGGTCACAGGTTCGAATCTATAATAAGAGTTGAATAAATATTTGTATGGACTATATTTAATTGATCCGGGCTCAGAAATTTGCGTCCACGAAACAGGAGAAAATCCTATTCTAAATGTGGGGGTAAAAAATAAATAACTATTAAAAAAACTGTAGGTAATAAATTCTTGAAATCTCTTTATCATCTTATGATTATGTTTAAATGTGTTACCTTATTCGAAACATATTGAATTGTCTCTTATCAGATTGTTTGTAAATATTTTTCTTTTGTACTGGTTTTGTCTTGGTTGCCTATTTATCTTGTGTTAGAATCCTATGCACTGTTGGCGACGCGCCTATAAGAGTATTTCAGTTTATTAAGTCAACCGATGACGAATAGCTTCTAAAAAACAAATTATCGAGCAACAATGTTCTAATAAGAAAATGCTTAGTTAAATCTTGAAGAAATGTCGAATTAATGATATAAAGGTCTTGGGTTCGACTCCCAGGCCGGACTAGTTTATTGTTTTCCTAAGTAATATCTTTCAATAAATTCATATAGGGAATTTTAAGATATAAATTATGTTACCGGATTGGTTCCCCGGTTGAAATCATCTTTCCAATGATGTAAATTTAAAAGAATATTTGAATAAAGTTAAAGATCGGATTTGTTCCCCGGTCGAGATGATCACTCTGTGCATAAATAGAATTAACGGAAATTAATTGCATAAGTATTGTCTTATATGAGTTTGATATGTTTTGTACGAAAACAAATGCCTATTTGCCATGATTTATTTATGAAAACATTCACTTATATTGTTTGATAAGAAACATGATAACTGATAAGAATCTGATTAGAGATAGTTTCCTACAGTTCGAAAATTGTGTAAAAGCATTTAATTTACCTAATATTGTTAAAATTGGTGTATATCAGACTTTCATTTTTTCTGATAGCCGAGAGCCGTGCAAAAGTTAGTTGTTCAAATAGTGTGAGTTCATAGACGCACGCTAAGCCACGCCCTTAGGAGGCCAAATATGTAAAAATTTAAATATTTGTAATTTCAGCAATTTATGTAAAAATGACTTGTAAAACATTTCAGGTTGATTGTACGTGCTAAAAAGGTGAATTCTGTGTTATTTTTATGTGAAAATTCCTGTGTATAAGTGAAATAATGATAGTTTTGTATAAGAAATTTAAAAGTGTTTTAAATAGTGAAATAAATAGAGAAAATGTAAATTAAACTATTGTATTAGTTAACTTATGTATAATTTCAAGTGGAAAACATTGTTTTAATTTCTGTGTTAAATATTTAAGAAATTTCGACTTCGAACTTGTGAGTAAAATAGGCATATTTCATTTAATAAATAAAAGGTTTTTCGTGATATGAAAATGTAATGTATATCGTAGTGTAGATATTGTTTTGTGCTATCTATACAGATAAATTGTATTGATGTAAGACTTATGCAAATAAAGAAATTAAGTAAAACGTGAGAGAGTAATAGAACAAATTCATGTAATTGAGTTGCGCAAGCGCGCGAATGTCGCGGCTCACTTTCGTGTATAGCTCTGGGGTAGCTTAGTGAACGGGTTTTATTGCAATTCGTTCGGGGAAAAAGTTCGGAAATCAGACCAGCAGTCAATAAGAAGAAGAAAGAAAAAGTGTAGGGAAGTGATAGGGAAAAAGTGATTACTCTCTCACGGAACGGTTTGAAGATAATTGCTGTTTTATTCCCAAGTAATTCATCCCTCAAGATTATACAGTCCACATCGAAGAATTAAGGCGTTGGGACCGGGACGACTTCGGAAGACCCGTAATCCCCGTCTGAACCTACTTGCTGAAAAGGAAGAGGTTATCGCCCTTGTGTGTTACTCCGTTGCGGAGATCACATACGTTGTTCCGGAACCCAACGTAGGCGTTATAGGAGGCCGGATCGAGAGAAGCCTCGATTCCTCCCTTCTGTTTCTTAATCGAACGTTTAATCCCCGTTGGTCCTTTTCAATTGGTCCATCGCGGCCGGGTCAAGAGGACCCCCGAACCTGGGTTCCTTTTCATGCACATTTTTTACAATTCCTCCCTGGTGACATATTTTACATTTTGACCCCATGTTCGTTGGCACTGGTTAGTTACGATTTCGTTTTAAGTTTGCTAGGTAGAAGGAAGCAAACACCTCTCCCCTATGGTTTCCCGTTTGTGAAATAATTGACACTTCGCACCCTGTTACTACATTCCTTTCGCGAACCAACTCAATTGAACGCATAGAATATTTATTTTACGCTAGCGGTCCGCCCCATTTTCGCACAGGTGATTTATGGATCGACAACAGCGCCGCCTACCTGGTCCAAATGTAAATCTAAGCTATCTAGGGAACCATTAAAATAACATAATTTTTGTATCAAAATCGGTCGAGCTGTTTTTGAGTTTTAGTGAGACTAACGGACGG